TAGGCGTTATTTTTTTATTTGTTTTTCTCTGCAAAACAGCCTCTGTCTGAGTGGTTCCAATAACTGCAGCTCCACCATTCTTGTTTTGCTGGTTCCAGTCAACTTCACATCCCATATATATGTTTGTGTAGTAAAGTGTAACAACGAACATCTGTCTTGCTGCATGTTTGATTGGTCTCCTGACATGAGCGAGACAAGATTGTTTACAGTTAGGAATTCAATTTGGAACAAAATTGGCCCGTGTTTAAGGTCTCAAAATGTTTTCTGTGTGGATGTTTTTGTGTGCACATGTGTTTACATCTGCCTCCCTTGTCACTGGCCAATGCATCTTGTAAAGCATGTGCAGTATATTCATGCAAATGCATGCACTATATTGTTGTTTGTCTGGATTCAATTCACTGAGACTCTACAGCCTCACATCAGTCTTATGTTGGTGTTTTTTTCCTGTCATGGCAGATACTTAGATGGCATGATCCTACTGCACATGTGAACTCAAACAAACCACTATAGTGCATTTCATCTCATTGCTGTCTATGTGTAACTGACATCCAGGTACATACGGCTATTAGGACCAGTTATTAGGATCCAGCTCTATTACAAATAGGTTTTTGTTAAACACTATGATAAAGCACACACACAGGAAACCATGCAAATGTCACCAATTACCTCAGGTCTAAGCATTACCAGTGTTATTTTCCCAGTTTTACCCTTCTTCAAAATATTAACATATTTATGACTTCCTATTTAAAAAATTATTAAATCTCACTTATTGTGGTTTGTTTCATCAGGAATTTCACTTGTAAAATTCTTGATACTTCTTATGTATTATCCGTTATCATAGAGCAGCTTGAACAATCAGATAAAAAAAAGAAACACATCTCACTCTCACACCTGGCAAAAATGCCAACCAGGAAACAACATAGAAATGTCATAGTCACTAATCATCTGGCCTTGCAACAGGAATGCAGCCACACACTTACTGAATTACAAGCCCCCTCTACTGTGTTTTTTTCCTAGTCACAAAAGTGGATGAGTAGCCATGCAAACAATTTACTATTTAAAATATCATTCTGGCAGATGAGTTTACGCCACAATTAATTCTTCTCCAATTGTCTGTTTTTGACTGTCAGACTGTTGGTTTGTAGCATACAATCACAATATGTGCTGACATTATCTTAAGCTTTACAGAAATGACCAATACACCCATCAGCTCAGTTTTTATGAGTTTGTTCAGTATGGATCGGCAGCCAATCATTTGATACATCTCTAGTCGGTGTGGATGGAAAATCTGAGGCTGTTGAGTGCTGCAAATGGTTTTCAAAACTTTACTGCAACTTCAAGATGACAACAAAAGGCAGGATGTCAGGGAACAGAAGAGCCTTTGAGCTACTCACTTTCACTTTTATCACTTTAAGTTGTTCTGGATAAACGCGTTAGCTTAATGCCTAAACTGTGTGATTATGCAGGAAGGTTTTGCTGAAAATAGCCTTGATGCTCAGTCAGCTTCTGTGAATGTATAGACTGAATAAGTCAAAGCTAAGAGTGGCATCTGTTTCACTGTGAACAATGCTTAGTGTTTTACAGTGTATTCCTCCCCGGGGATGAAGCAGTTTGATATTAAATACCACTGTGCAATGAAACCCCGGGAAGCTGTCGGACATCCAGTCAGTCATTTAAACCCAGCAGTCAACATTCACAGCTGCATTGTCTATATGCTTGGCCTGCAGTGTTAAGGGGTGGCTGACCAATTTTTAAAAAAAATATAGCTTGTGCACAGTAAGGAAAGATTTAATGAATAGAAGGGGAAAGTAAACAGTGAAGACTTTCCCAGGGGCATGTGCACAGAGGACAATTGGCAACTGCCTCAAGACTACTGTGGAAACAAAGTGCCCCAGAGCCCCATTGGCAAAACCAAAAAGCAACACTTGGCAAACTATGGCTACTCAAAAGCTCTGTTAGATGTTTTATTTTTATTTATATATTTATTTTGTTTAATAAAATCAACTTTACAGAGCACCTTTTGTTGGCGTCAGCTTGAAAAAGAAAACATGACCAGAAAGAAGAAATTAAGTGCCTACAAATCAAAGTTGTAGTGAGAAATTTACTGTTCATTTTTTAACATTTCAGTATCTAATACCACCATTTTTAGTGTTTTAGTTAGAAGCACTGTTCAAGCTTGACTTTTTTTCGGCCTGTTGCAATTACATTTAGTGCAGCATTTTCAGGAGCATTTAATTTCTGTTACCTACTTTTTGTCAATCTGAATTCAGGGAAAGTTTGGCGGAAGTTATTATTTATACCACAGTGATTGTGCTCACAGTATTTCATTATTAGGAAAGCAGTAGAAAAAGGCCCTCCTGTAGAGATCGAGGTTACATTCAAGGTCTGTTTTGAACAACTGTCCCCATCTGAAATGTTTGTCGATAAAGTTTCAGTGCAAGCACAGCTGTTGAAGCTCAGCTAAATAATAAACTTTAATTGCACAACCATCGTCTTTTTGAAAAGTGTTCTATTCTAATCATGTATCAAATATAAAACCTACTTTTTGAATTTAAAGCAAATTTATTCTCTGCAGAGAACCTGGTGGACTTATTCACATACACATCAGAAAGTGTGGTGTGGAACTTTGGGATCTACCTCAGTGATACTTGAAGTGCTGATGACCAGCCTCAGGCTTTTAAAATCAAAGGGAAGTGTCGGGCTTTATGAAAATCACAACCTGGAAATTGGAGCTTTGAGCCTTGAAACGGCATATTGCACAGGTGTTGAGACTGTATGCGTGAGCAGCAATACTCGTGACAATTTCCTCTGCTTCAGCATCTCATGCATTTACAGCTTTATGTAGGCAGTCTCTTTCAACTTGGCCTCCATTTTATGTTGAAAAAGATCAGAACTCCTTGGTGAAGGGTATTTCTGTGAATAAGCCATACTTTGAACTAGTATTTCCAAGTTGAACCAGAATGGCACACAGTAGAGCCTAAAGCTCCACCAAGGCCAAACAATCCTCCACAAGTCTGTCAGATAATTATCTAGATCTGTACCAAACTGTACAAAGGCATAGATCTCAACACCATAAATATGTCATGATTCTTTTACATCAAGATCCAAGCATTATTTCCTGAGAAACTGATGTTTATGAAGGTGAGAAAATTTCCTCGATCCACCCCTTAACTGGATCTGCATCAAAATTTAATGGGTTCCTCCTTGACCCAGGGCCCCATCCCTCCACCAAGTTTGGTGCAAATCGATTCAAGACTTTTTGTGTAATCCTGCTGACAAAATAAAATATAAAACGACAACAAACAGACATGGGTGAAAACATAACCTTGGCTGAGGTAAAAATGTGTTGATTTATCGATATGTAAATTGTAACAGCAGTTTGCCATCTTTTGCTTGACTGTTGTTGCAGTAAGTGCTGTACGTGTGTGTTCATTTTGGCGCACCTCTTAGCATGTTTCTATTAATAACACAGGTACTGTAGCACTGGAGCGCGTAACATGGAATCAACCTGACAATGAGTGGTCCATTCATTTTGTCACCAGACAGTTGTTGCTAACATGATTAATTCGGGGAATTATACAGTATTCTGATCATTTCAAGCTGTTAGAGATGAACAAAATTGCCTGCTTGAACAATGAGGGCAAAATCACTCTAGATAAAATGGTGAGTTGTAAAGAGCAAAGAGATAATGAAAAAATATTGTTGGTCATAAATGTTGGCAGCTCTGCATATCGACATTGTCTGAAAATATTACCAACATATCATCAGTGTGGCACAACATTGTTATAATTATAATTTCTACTCATCTTTTGCTTCCAGCCCTCCAGGGGCTCCATATGTTGTAGTGTTGGACAGTCCTCACTTTCCTCTTCACATCTCCTCTCCTCCCTCTCTGCTCTCTTGCCAAGTGGTTTGGAACGGTCCAGCTTTTCCGTTTCTCACTCTTCCCATGCTTGTTTTCTCCTCTCTAATCTCCTTAGTTTGCTCTTCAAATATATCTGTCTACCATTTTCTTCCTAGGTTAATTTACGCTTATGTTTTAGGCGCATATCAGATGTGGTGCTTTACATGGCTGCATCGTCCACATAAAGAGCCATTAACAAATGTCATGGAGTGTGTTGGGATAGTGAAATGAGTGAGGAATTTTTGCACCAATGCGCTGAAATATTCAAAGAAAAAATGTTTGACTCTGCATCTGCATGCTTACACTTTTGAGAGGTATGCAAAGTCTGCTGAATGTATTTTTGATGTTTCAGGCATTTTCACATCTTTTTTACAACTTAAATTATGGAGTGATAGAATAGACAGAGATGTGACAAAGGTCTAGGGCTGAATTTGAACCAAGCACATATAAGCATCTCAGACCACTGGCTACTGCCTGTCTCTATCCCAGTCTTTTCCTTATTCCCTGCTCCTCTCCACCTGAAGAGAAAAGTACCTGCACTGACAATTGATCTCAGACCATCTGGTTAGCTCAGACAGTGGATTGCAAATGCGTGTACCGTTATTATTTCCTAAGCACTGTATATAAAATTGATTATTTGGGTAGTGCAGTTGAACATAATTGACACAAATATTAGTGGTGTTTACAAAAAGTATCTGGGAAGTGTTTAAAAATCATACTTCCACTGAGATTACTGGATATTGTAGAGTGAGACAATAATAGCCCTAATGAAAACAGTAAATCTTAAATTGACAAATTGCAGAAGTGTATCTTCTTGCAACTGCAGCAGAATCCACTGTAGTGATATCCACGGGAGTACTGTACACAATCCTGATTTATCTTTACATTGCTCTGCCTGCAAATTATATTAACTTTGTGTTAGTTTATTTTATTATGTACTGTCCATTGCAATTTGGATACTTCCCCCTCCGAATGTCAGTAAGAGAAAAAGTATTTTGAATATTTATTTCTTTATCTATCTATATTTATTATGAACAGACATTTTTCTGTAATATGAATTCCGTCAGTCTTTACTTCACTGTCCTGTTTTTGCCAGGTCTTCCGCAGCGGTGAGGGCATGGGCATCCGTCTGGACAGCGCATCTGCCTTCCAGGGTGCTGTCATTTCACCCCACTATGACTCCCTGTTGGTAAAAGTCATCGCCAGCGGGAAGGACCTTCCGACAGCAGCCTCCAAGATGAGCCGTGCCCTGGCCGAGTTCAGAGTGCGAGGGGTCAAGGTAGGACCTTTCAATCACATGTGCTCGATGGCACTGGTGCTCTGTGAGGAGCTTCTCCCTGTTTTCATTTGCATTTAAAGTTCTCATAGTTTCCTGTGGATATGACCTCTTGAGCTGATGGAAATCTCAGTGGACAATGTCAAAAAGTAGGAAATTGTGATAGACCCTGAATATCTGGCATCAGGAGAGATTCTTTCACGACAGTAGAGATGTAAGTTTGATGGTGTTCTCTGGTGCAGGTCTGCTGTGAATGGCTTCATCAGAGCCCATAACAAACAGTTTGAGTTGGTGCAGCATGGTTAATGGTGTGATGCATTTCAAACTGAAATGGTGAGGAGGGCAGCTTTTTGAAGGTCTCTATGTACTTAATCAGCTGCAGGGTACAACAACTTACTGGAGTGGTGCGCCAGAATTTTTGGACACTTAGCCTTACATCTCTGCGTGACCCCTCTGGTTGAATACATACTCTACAATACTCCTTACTTCTTGGTTTTCAGACTGAAAACATGCTCTATCAGTGTCTGGCACTGCCTCAGGATACATCCCTGGAAAAAGATAGAAGCCTCTAGTGTGAGGCAGGTTTTGCTTAATACTGTCTGCTGGTGTAAGTGTTTTTTGACAGACAGCGGCAGTTTCAAAGCCAGTGTTAACAGAAAGGGAAGGTGGGGCTAATTAAAAATAATGAGCTGCATGTGTTCATGTACCCATCATAAAAGCAAATAATGTCATGAACCTCATCACGTTACTTTTGCCCTTTGAATTGGCTTATTTTAAGTGTTCTGTTTCTAGATTGGCTCAAGAAATAAATTTGTGTTGGTTTATACCATTAATATTTGTATCCTTAATAACACAGAGTCAGCAGTGTACAAAGATCAGATTCAGATTCTTTGGTATTGTTTGCTTTTAGTTATAAAATACCTAATATATACACAATATTAAATAAGATGACTAGGGCGACTGGGAAATCATGTACTATCTTTATTTTTGTCAGTCTAATGAAAGTTGCAATATAAAAAATACTCTGCAGTAGGAACATTAGTCTTTGTCACTCCAAGTTTTACTTCAACAGATGGAGGACGTTATATAAAGTCAGTTAATCGTTGAGTTAGATGAGAAAGAAATGCAGAATCTCCTGGTCAACATTTTGATTTCTGCTTTCTTCTTTTTTACTCACATGTAATTTGCACATTTGAATCTGTTAATTTCCACCCGGCAATTAAAATGAGCAATTTGTGATCAGGATGAGCCCGATATAACACATGCAGGGAGTTCTTAACGTGTGCCTTTTTTTCCAGCACATTGCAGTCCAAGGTGTGACGCTAACAATCAAGCTGCAACTGGAAACACTGTGTTGGGCAGCCAAGGTCTTAGATGTTTTTGTTGTAGACACTGGGGTTCACAAAGACTCATTACTGTAGAAAATGAAGCATTTCATCTCAAGGTGAGGCAAGCAAGGTGAACGAATCCTGTAAGAAGTTGAGTCATTACCATTTTTTCTGAGAAGCTGAAAAGGCCAGTAATAAATAATTCACATTCTAATAAATAAATACAACATTTTTGAAGTAGCTAAGTGAAACGACACATTCTGGTTATTAAATGCCGTTGATGGTTTTTTAAAAGGTTTTCTTTGTAAGTCAAGTAGCAGATTGCCAAAAAAGAACACTGCTGCTAATTTTTTTTTTTTTTGCAAAACCACAATTAAACAAAAGCACTTTGTGTCCCATCTCTGTGGTGCAACAGCTGAAGTGTAAATGAACTGAGAATTAAAGTCAGCAGTGGTTAATTTAAATTTGGAGGTGTGACCTCACGTCTGTAGACCAGTAGCAGTTTGTTCACTTATGTGTTTTTTGCTTTGAGCAGCAATGCTATGCAGCTATGCAAAGACAGTTGTGGTGTATTCATGTACATATGTATTATCTCAAATCAAAAGTGTTTTCAATATTTGCTTTGCTGAATTTCAGACAGGGTTTCTTCCTACCTGTAGTGAAATGAAAATAAAGGCCATGATAAACACAAAGGGATTGCTGTAGCCGGTGGAACTGAAAATTCTATCAGCTCAGTCATAGTAATTCCTCAATCTCTTTTGAATTAGTCATGATGAGGTGAAATTGCAAGTCAAATTGGTCTTCTTAACTCTAATTTCTTATTTAACTTGGAGTGCACTTTACAAACTGTCAGCACAGATTTAATAGATTAATTTTCCCTTCTGATAGAGTGAGAAAGCGTTTGATGTTTGCTGAGCCTTGATGTGCCGTGGACACCGTCCTTTGTCCTCACTGCTCTGGTTTATGTAAACAGGCTCTGGGAAGTCAACGTAAAGTACCTCTCCTGAATGTCTGAAATCATTCTGTACAATAGAATTGGCTCTTTCTCAGTGTAAAGACAGGGTGTGCTGCAAACAAACTACAGTGAGAAACCTTGGTGCCTTTGCTGGTCAAACTTGAGGTCAAATACTTTCTTTTCTGTAGATTGACAGAAAGAATACCGTATAATTCTAACAAGGCCCAGAATTAAACTCTCTCTTTCTTAAGGCTGCCGGTAGAAAACAGAAATCATAGCAGCTCTTCACAAAGACTTGAGATTTGAGCAAAACTGGCTGCGTTTTATTTAATACACACACCATTAAATTTAAAGTCTGCCAATTTTTAAAATGGGCTACACAGGTTTTAATGGTCTTGTAACAGCCATTTTTTTCTATAACAAGGTAATCAGACCCTGCCAATTTGATAAGCCCAGGTGTGTGGTACCAGTATGTCTTTGAAAGGACATGGAGAAGAAAACATTTTTTTACACTCAAATAATTTGCCCACGAAATTACTTTGCAACGTTTTCTTTCTTCCCTTCTTTTGAAAGTTGAATTGACGCCACTCATACCCCTTTTCTTGAGCTTCTCCATCCTATTTCAAGTTGTTGAATGTGCACCAAATTTTTAATCCCCTTTGTGTGTTGTCTTTTTTATCACACACGCCATTATCATGGCAGACCTTCAGTCAACACCATTTGTCAAAGTAAGTGGACAGTAAGTTGGAAAGTGTGTTTTATGTGTCCCTATGACTTACAGTCCCAGAGTTGACATAATCCAAGTACTCGTATTCTTGTCACTTCATGTCCAGACAGTGACCTTCTCTTCAAAGTAAGCACAGTCAGTCTGTTTTGCACTTTGATGTAGACTCTGTGCTTCAGTGTGTCTGTGTCCTTAGGTAAGACACAGTTGCTTACGTCCCCAGATTTAGTTGTTGTGACTTACAGCATCTTCCTCACGTAGTGCACTCACAAATCTTTCAGCCCCCTTCCTCCTAAATGACCAAATCGCCATCTGAGTTATATCCTCAACTGCTTAACCTATTTTTGTTCATCCTCCTTCCTGTTTCATAGAAAAAACACATTACACAGGACATGATAAAACATTTTCTATCTTACCAGCGAGTTAACTGCACCCACATGGCATCACAAGTTGTCACTGCTTTCTGCAGTGAAAACCAGGTGGTTCCTGTGAGAGAAATTCTTCTTTTTGTTGAGAGTTGCTAGTTCTCTGTAGAATTACGGATGCGGTGTGATGAATCAGATCTCTTTAATTAATGCAGCATGGAGAGAAGACCCTAACATGGTTGTTGTCTAAAGACTTCCAGGTTGTGTTGCTTTATATACTGCCAGGCAAGGTTGGCTTGGTCTTAACTTCTTAGCTGGCTCTCATGTTATATCCTCACACTCAAATCCATACAATGAAACCAAATCAATACATTATTTCCTCTCAAATGTTCATTTCCCACATTCCTGAGAACATGGATGATCTATTATAGAACAGAACTAATACTGGGGACATTTTATGTTCTGCTGCTCTACAAAACCTTTTGGTGAAGTTAATAGTTGGAACTGCTGTGATGTTTACTTGACATGGACACTGTATGTCATCCAGCGAGTCATTCCTCCAGTCCCAGATGTAGCCTCCTGTCCTAGAAGCTGATTTAATTGCTGATGTTTTGCGTATAAATTAGCATACATTGTTGGCTAAATTGAGTCCTGAGGACCCTGTGCATTTCATGTTTCTGGATCTGTGAGAATGTACTGTACGTTAATTTGAGCAAAGGTGGCCAGTGAACATGTTGACTGGAAGAATAATTGTCGTACATTGTCTCCGTGTTTGTGTGTTTGTGAGCAGTGGCCTTGGACTGTGTTGCTTGTGCTGTGTTGGAATGTCACCAGTGAGAAGCCGGAATGCTGGCAACAAATCCAAGGCCTATTAATGCTTTGGTCTGCTCACAGAGATATGACTCTGAAGGGTTACATCCTCATAACTCCAAGCTGTTGTTTTTCTCCCTCCCAATGAAGACAAATGTGGCTATTGTAAATCTGACACTGACTGCACCACACTTTCAAGACCATTCTTTGAGTTCGTGGCTCTTATGGTAGCGTAACCTTTTAAAGTGAAAACCATAACGCACCAACCACACTTAGATTTTCTGGATTGACATGCGACAACATGCTGCTCTCCTCTGTTGTGTGGAATTATATTTGGCATTTCAGAAAGCTCTGTTTATCCTTCTGTGTTTGTGTGCATGTGTGTGCATGTCTATCAGCATTTCAGTGTGGACATTTGTGGGGCTTTTCTGTGTGTGTGTGCAAAGGACGAGCCATGTGTGTCAAGCAGTAAAATATCACACATCTATTAGCAAAAAAAGAGAGGGGGAGAGTGATAGACAGGAGAGCGACAGGACATGTGACAGGAGGGTAAAGATAGATGGATAGAGGAGCTGGGGGGGAAAGGGCAATTGAGATGGAGAGCGTGTAACATAAAATGACAAGGAAGGTGGAGCTGCCCATAGAAGCCAGTACACCTGTGGCTGTCAAGTTTATATCTGCAATGCATGTCAGTAGTTGAATTTCAAAGTGTTGAAGAGTCTGTCTCAGACTAGCTATAAGTTTATAAAGTTTGTGGCAAATGAAGCTGCAGTCTACACACAGACAGTTTTCCTTTTAGCTTTTTTATAACAGTTCACTAT